CAGAAGCAAAAGGAACTCTATAAAGGACTTTTTGGCCCAAGACCTGAACCTAAACCCAAGAGAAGGAATTGGCTAATCCTCATCTGGGAATGGCTTCTTTCACTATTTTACCGGCTCTTCAGGCGTCAAAGAATCAAAGCGGATTGATTAATTCGGCCAAACATGAGTTAAACCAGATCTTGAATAACTATTAACGTTTATTGATAGTGTTATTGACAACTGCTTCTCTCTGAAATGTTAGAAGTCTTTGCAAACAATGCTTTATTTATTTATTTATTCATTTTGAATTGCACCGTGAAATGATGAATGTGTGTTTGAAGAGAACCCAAAATGAGAACAGAGGATTGCCCACCGAGTTAGTATTCATCTATTCGGTTTATTAGATGTGCTATTTACAGTAACATATAACACAATAATCCAAACTCAAAATGATAGAAGTACATTCTTCAGTTCCCTTTTCCATCTCAATCTGTGGATTGTCTACCAGGATTGTTTGAGCATGGACATCCAAGCAAGGTAAGCGCAAACAATCTTTTGAGACATATATACATAAACGGCAAAAGACAAACTCATTAACATCAAATCTTTCCAATCCCCCTTCTGCTTTGGACTCATATTCTCCTTTAATCCACTGCCAATCTTCCCAACACTAGCCAAAACTTGTAGGAACAGCTTCTTCTTTCCCTTCCTTTCTTCCAATGTTTTTGAAGCAGACGTTCCTGCTGGATCATGGTTTCCACAAGACAAAACGATAATTCTTGAACAGCTTCTGCTTTTCAGTTCTTGAATTGAACTGACTTTGTTGTGGAAAGAATGACTTACAGAAAGAGCTGCCATGAAAGAGAAACAGAATAGATAGTTCTTTGTGTTCTTGTCTTTAACCGAATGTTGGTTCAAGAAAATATCTCCAGTTCCGAAAGCAAACGTTTGCCTCAGAATTTGTGGATAAGATTATGTCCATGGGCCGTTCGATATAGGAGCTGTAAGAGTCCATAATGTTTTTAGCTGTAGAAGCCCAATTTAAAAAATGGACTCGAGACAAGATGGCTAGAAAATTCCGCTGTCTTCCAGTTCCACCGTGCGCGCGCGGGCATCCTTTGGGCAAAAATATGATATAAGGACCTGAATTTATACAAAATTCATAATTTTGGATCCAAACTTCAATTGTACTCAATTAAGGTCATAGACTTCATGAAATTTTCAAATAAGGTTATAATTAAATGGAATATGCTCTCGATGGATGAAATATTCTCTTACCACCAAATATCTCGGATGTTGTTAACCGTTTGTCACTCTCTTAGTGTCACATGTGAAAAACATACTGATTTATCATTATCACGTGGATCTCACAAGTGGATCCCAATTACTTTTAAGGAAAATCTTATTAAAGAGAATTTATGTAACACTACATGACAATGACACGTTAGCATGTTGTCTATGTTGGCAATTTAGTTTACTAAACGGTTAATGACATCTAAGATATTTGACGACAAAAAAATATTCTATTCAATTGAGATATTATTTGAGAATTTTATATAGTTTGAAATTTTAATTAAGCACATTTGAAGTTTAGGTTTGAAATTGAGAATTTTGTACAAGTTCGGGTCTTTTTCCAGTACTTTTGCCTAATTCTTTGACTGTTTTTCCTTCACAGTTTACCTGTACCATCATAGCTAAGCCTACACGTGTGCGATCGCCGATTTTATTTAATTTAGAATTGCGACTGCTGCTGGTCAAACTACCCAAAAACTTCAACATCTGTCAAATCTCACCTACTTTATATTACTCCACTATTGTATTAGTTATTACACGTGTCATTCCGTTACACGTATTAGAGTTAATGAGTGTTACTAGAAGTAAAATTTATACATGTATATTTTTTTT